ACACACACACACACACACACACACACACACACACACACATACACACACACACACACACAGCTGCGGATTTAATCGAGTTCAGTAAAAAACAAGGAATGGAACCCTAAAGTAACTTATAATACGTATTTTTTAAATTTAAAAATTTTAAATTCATTTACATATATCATTTATATAAAAAGCTTAGGTGTAAAAGTGGTAGCAAAAGCTATAACAGCAATTCCAATACCTGTCCAAACCTCTCCTCTTTAAAAGAAGAAAACAAAGTTGCTGAATTCAGTTGCATTACTTATAAAGTGATTCTCTACATTGTTTCGTTGTAAATCATATAAATGATCACAATAACATAGTAACTACTCGCTGATATCTTATTTAAATACTCATAATTAGTCACTATTTCGGCCTTTTTCTTCCCAAGTTTCTATCAACATCGAGATCCTATTTTACGTCAATTCTTCTATTAAACTCATTAGGTTTGGATGAATCAAAATTTTCCATTAAGATCCCTTTCACCAGAACTCCTCATAATGATCACTTCTTACCTTGGAAGCTGTGAATTCATTCAAACGATTTTCCAACCGCTCAATTTCGGCATCCCTTTTGGTAATTATCTGTGATAGCATTCTGAAATTTCAGTTTACGAAGTTCAAGAAAAATTTTCAAAATAAAGTGAAAAAAAGTTGCAAGTTCAAAACATTTCCACTTCAAATACATCTAGAAAGTTGCTTACTTTGATTGTCGATACTAATAACTGCCATGACTAAAAAGTATGGGAAGTATGAACGTGAATATTAGATTAAAAGCTAGCATAATGAAGTTTGTAGGAACAAATTGATGATAAATGATTTTCATGAAGTCTCCGCAGGAAGACTAGAAGGAATTACTACTCACTGCATATGTGACTTCAACTGCCGGCATTGTCTTCCTAAGCTCAATTCTTCATCCAAATCACTGCAGGAACCGTCGTCGCTCTGCATACCGGACCATTGGTCACTGTCTGGACGTGATGAATTTGAAGCTTGAGCACGCTGTTCGAATCGTGCCATCAATATAGCTCGTAACTCGATAGCTTCTTCTCGACGCCTCAAAAAATCTTATAACGCTACCCCACCTGCCATAATTGAACATTTGTGTTCGCTAAATGCGAAAATGAAAAATTTTTCTTTTTGTTTTTAATTTGTGATTATTAATATCAGAAGGCTTCGTAAAATTAAAAATCACACTTATGCCATGAAATTTCATAAAACTAATTATGAGTTTTACAGCATATGTAACCTGCATAAACAACCTCCTCAGTAATATAAATAAATGAGCAACAAAATACTCCAATATATTCATTTCTACTATCATAAATATAGTATAGAAAATTGTATAGAAAGGTTTTGTACAAGATTAAATATCTATTTTTGGAAGGTTTTAAAATGTAGTGCAAGTTCCAATGAATAATGTAAATTGACTTTGTTTAAATTATATAGGAATTAAACGTTAAAAGTAAGACTATGCATAAATTTGAATGACAAAGAGAAGATATGTTTTCATTAAAATCAAATAGACTACAGCTGTATTGAGGACATAGTCGTCACTAACCTATCATTTTCTTCCAATATTTTTTCGACAAATGATCGGAAATTCATTGCTTCAGAGCCATTTCTCATTTTCTCTTCAAGCAATCGTTCCATTTCATCTTTAAGTTTTGTATACGATAACTCGAGCTCCTAAAATGGTGAAATTCCAATTACTTTTTTGTATATCACCAAATTCTCTTTTGAATCACGTCGTTATGAATCGTCCTAAAGTTTAGACCAAAGTTTCAACGGGTTAAAAGGTTAAAAAATCTTGGTTAATCAGAAAACATAATGCGACCTACTTGCATTCGTTGAGCTTCAAAAGCCCTCATAGTCGTCCGCTTATCCAAATTTTCGATCAGCATATTTGCATCCATTATCGATTTCAAACGATCATTTTCTCTTGAAATTTGCTCTATTCTGCAAAAAATTGACGTCAGTACTTCCAAAACAATACAACAAATTTTGAAAAAAACATCGAATTTAAATTACCTGGAAAATTTCAAATCCAAATTATTTATCAGCATATCTAAAGTTCTGGTTTCCTTTCTTGCTTAATGCAATTTTGATACTTACATATGAATGATGAATGAAGAAAAAGATAAATGTTAATCGAAATGATAAGAACTGTAATTGTGTAATCAAAGAATGATAAACAGCATAAATAAAACAGGTTGTAACTGTAAACTAGAAAAGCATACTTGGAGCGAAGTACATTAATAGCATGTTGTTGCTTCAGTATAAGGACCACTTCATCCAGGTCATTACCATCTAGGCCAACAGTAACTATTTTGCCATTTGTACCACCAACCAAAATCGATTGATTCAAACTTTTTTGAATGAGCCGTATACCTGAAAAGATTTCACTGTTACTACTTTTTATCTGATCATACAGAGGTCAGATGTGCTCGCATTCCAAATGAGATAAATGAACAGGAATCTAACAGTATTATGATCCTGATTATTTTATAACCCAAGCTAATATTGTATAACAGATTATAGGCTGGAATAAATGATTACTCAATTATTACTGATATATTCGACATCTTCAGGAACAGATGATGCATGAAGCTATCACTAATGCTATTAAGCGATTAACCGTATCCATTCTTAGCTCTTCTTCACTATCAATCTTATTTCGCTTAAATGCATGCATTCTTTAGAGTGTAGTAGTGATTTCTCAACATTAGTACAATTCAAAGCAAATATTTTAATTATTTTCGAAAGATAACAGTTATTACTGAAAAAACACAATAATGAAAAAATAATATGGAATTGTAAATTAAATTTTTGAAATAAGGACTTACTTCCTACTCGACTTACTGCTGGACTAGCTAGAAGATTTGCATTTGCAAGCAGCTGTTCACGCATCTGTGATATTTCTTGTTCCGATACTAGGCGATGGTTCTTCTCTGTTAATAATGAATATTTTAAGTGAATTCCACGAAATAAAAGATGTAAAACTGACAACAAAAATCAATAAAAATCCTTACCACAAAAAAAGTTTTGATATCTCTTAAAAAAAATTTAGATGCAAAACAGTTAACCTTTGATTAGTTCAGCATCCACTAGTTTCTTCTGCTTCATCAAAGTATTGTAACGGATACGAAGACTTGACAACTCAGTATTCAAAGCATTTAGTTTAGCAATTGTTTCTTCACACTCCTGAAATTCTTAATAAAATTTTGAGAAAAGAAACTGATCTAAAAATCTTTGCGACATAAGTAATAATCTATTGAAAGATGTCCATTCAGGTGACTGATTTGTATATCGGTCGACATTTTCGTTTTTCACCGACTTACATTAAATAGTTGTATTTTCATCTAATGTCAAAAAACATGCACATCATAAGGAAGAAGAAAGCCATTCAAATGTATGTGCAGCACTAACACTTCATCCTTTGTCAACCGCTTTCTTCTGATTGCTGACAAAAATCTTTCTATGCCTCCGCTTTACTTCTAAAAAGCAATAAAACACCTGATCTCACAAAAAATAAAAAATAACCATTTTCAATCCATCCTTTGTATTTTGTAGTTCTTCCTCCAGTTTGGTATTTTTTGCTGCTTCTTCTTTTCGACTAGCTTCTAACAATTTCACTTTCGCTTCCAGTTCTTCCGCATGTGCTTTGGTAGCTAATAGCACACATCTGCAATGATTACGGTCCTCAAATGCATACAATCACCGAAAAAAATTTTGTATGAATTTCTGCATAAATGGATGTGCTCTATATGCCCTACAAGTCGTGTTTCAACTTCTGATTCAAATATCATACTGCAACCATGGTAATAAAGATCATTGGATAGTATTATACTAGTAAAGATTAATAAAAAGTATTGTTTATGGTAATTTGATTCAAGAGTGATTCAAAGTGACAAAAATAACTATTCAAAAAAAAAAAACAACAAAAAAATGCAGTGATGAAAACGGCGAGAAAAATGAAAAATAAAGTAAAAGTAAATGATGAATAGTGATAAAGATTAAGAAGTTTTATGGGTGAAACTCGAAATTCCTTAAAAAATTGATATTTGACTATTAATAACATCAATCCCAGCACTTTATTATAAATGGAAGTTCACAATAAATCGTCAGTGAAAGCCATTTTATGCAGAAAAAAATTTGATAACAAAAAACTATTTTTGACAAGATCTTTCCTCAGTAGCAATGACAAGAAAAAAGACAGGTCCAAAAACAAAAAAATCAAATAAATTTCTGCATTTAAGGAAATAAATACAAATAATTGCAAATTTTGTTAAGATTCTATTTAAATTTTTAAATAAGGGATTTATAATTAGAGAAGCAATAGAAAAACCTTTGTGTTTCCAAATTTGCCATTTCTGCCCGCATTTTATCAGCTTCTGCCGAAATTGTCCATAATCGACCATTCTCTGCAGTCTGGATTCAATCAGTAGAATGAGCTTGCGTATTTTCTAGTTCTTTAAATTTGTATTTAAGGTTTCTGAGCTTGAAGAATTTGTGCATTCAGATTTAAATCTGATATTTCTGAACTTAAATGTTTAAACCTTGTGCTGTTGTTGCATGTAAAGAAAAGAAAAGGGAATGGGAAAAACGGAGAAGTTCATTAAAGTACAGTAAGCAAGAATTTCCGAATAATGCCTTAATGACACCCATCAGCTGTAAGTACAACTATTTTCAATATCGACCTTCCTCGGCCTTAAGTTTTACTAAGCGAAATTCCTGGAAATTCGATTTTCAAGTGCTTAAAGAGACGCTCTATTTTCAAGGCTAACAGGTTCATTCGTATCATAAACGATTACTATAATGTCAACAAAACCATACCATGAAGTCAAGTTTCTGCTGCAACGAAATGATTTTGTTTTCAAGGCCTCTATTTAGTTTTTGCAGATGTCCAACAGACCGAGCCTCAATCTAAAACTACATGGAACTTCAGCAAAAAATTCTTTAGCTGTAGAGCAATTAAAGCTTCGAAACTACCTTATAAAATTTTTTATTTTTGTATTATTTGGAAGTTCTGATTGGAAATTTTACAAATATCAGTTAATACTAATTTGAATCATTAGATTGAAGAATCAACAGAGAAATTGTATAAAGGCGAAAGTGACTAATTGTTTACTAAAAATGTGATTTACCTATTATTTGCTAGCAGCAAATAAAAACATTACCAGCACTTTGCTCCTGCTATTTACATTAAATTATCAGGCACACAAAGAAACAAATATGATCATTACTCATGTATTTTTTTGGAATTTATCACAAGTAAATTAATGATAAAGTGACAAGTGACACCAGTGCTATGAAAATAATAAAGTAAATAAGAAGACAATAGGTTTTTATGAAGATTACACTGAAATCATAGGTATTAACCTTCAATTCGCGTAGACGCCTCCTTGCAAGCCATTGACGTACTTGACATTGTATCATGACGATTTTTTTATTACGTTCGATTTGATGACGCCTCACCAGCCAGCCACGCCAATATTTTTGAATTATGATTGTTTTCTGCTCGTACCGTAACTAAAATTGAAAACAAATTCACGGCTAGTGATTGGAGACGTTAGTATAACGAAAATGAGAGAACACGCAGAGATTTGATTCAAATTAAAAGAGATAAAATAATTAAAATTAGACAGCTATTTGAAGCTTATTTCTACTTTCATCTAACGCTCAGATCTACATCTAGAAATTTGCAACCAATGACTGTCCAATAATTGAAGTCTTCCTTTGGAAGTGCAATATTAGGAACGAAATAAAGCATATGACTGTGTGCATGCAGAATTATTGAAAGAATGGATTGAAACATTCTAATATTATGATGTAATTTGAGGAGTGAGTTAAAAACTGAATATACAGCATTTGTCGATTTATAATGAAGGACAGGAAAGTGTCAATATATTAACCCAATTTTCGAAAAAAAATTTCAATTGGTTACAAAGTTTGCTTTTAAAATATGGGCAATTCTGAAGTGCGAAAGGCAACTTATAAGAAAAAGAGCAATTAAAATTAAAACGTCCGAAAGAAAATATCAAAGTTTGGTAGAATTTATAAAGAACTAAAACAATGAATTTTTTCGTCGCATTTTACGGCATAAAATCGACTATATATCACATTATACGACACATTATCACCAACGATGTACTGGAGATCATTTTTAAAATTGAATAAAAGAATAAACAAAATACATCATGAAATATAGGCCAGAGATTCATAAGGATAAATTATTTCGGTTTAAGCCTTTGAAGCATCACTAACTATCCTTTCAAAAATGTCCTTTCTAAAAAAAGTTTCTCTTCTGAAAAATGCTAAAAAAAGCGAGAAAAATAATCGAAATATTAATTTAACAAAAAGGCACCAAAAAACGTTTCAAATTGGTTGTACCAATCCAATCTACCAGAAAATCAGAATGAAAAGTATATAAAATAATCAGAGAGATCATCATGAGAGGAAAACTTTTCACTTCCTTATCAAAAATGATGCTATAATTCACAGAAATTCTACGAGAAAGGCGACATAAAGCATGAAATTGAATATATAAGAAATACTGACCTTGGGATTCTCATGTATTTTTTACTTTATTTTTTGATTAACCAATAAAAGGTCAGTAAAAGTTCACAAGAATGTCGTGAATGTCACAACCACCAGCCAAAGAGGAAAACACTATTCAAATTGCGCGAGATGATTTTTTCTTTGATCAATGAAATAATTTCGAAAAGGGAAGAGGTGTTTTTATTGTAATAAATGTATAATAATACGGTCTTAAACAAGTAGATATTCCTCTTATTTTGATGCCAGAATGATCTTTAGCAGAAGGAAAATACTTTTAAATGTATAATTATAAATAAAATTCATAATCTGTATGTAGTTAAATAATTAGAATTATTGAAATTATAGTTAGCTACAAACGATCTCTGCATTTTCATAAAAATCGATCATTTATAATAGATATTGGTTCAGCCGAGTATGCGCAGTGATATATTCAAATACCTTTTCCATTCTCTGACGTATCAGCGATGCTCGATAATGGGTCTGTATCATAATAACAACTCCTTTCAGTGATCTATAGCGACGCTGCGCTGCATAACAACGAAATGCAGTTTGTATGCAAATTGCAGCGCGATGCATTTGGAGATATTTCATGCGCCTGTACACCAGGAATGCACGTGAATAAAGCTAAAAGAAATTTTAGAATTGATATCATTTTAAATCGATTTAAGATCATAATTAATCATAGTCATATTTCATGAAAAACAGGGCACATTTCGAAGGAAAGCCATCGATATATGGAAAATACCTGAATTTTGAGCAGTGATTCTTTGATATGTTGATACTTTTTCCGAGAGATGTATCCTTTCCAAATTTTCTGGATCATTATTGCTGAATTTGTTAATTTTTCATGAAGTATTCTCTCCAGTAAAGCTACTTGTCCAGTTCGAAAGAACACCTTTGTCTTACCCAAAGCATACATTTTATTCTGCAACGCAGTAATATTACAAATATTACTGATGATTATAAAGGTTATAAATAAGTTTCTATTTTCTATTTTTGCAAAGAAATTGGTGATGGTCTTCAAAATTCAATTATAAAATTTTAAATCATCAAATGCAGAATCAAACATCATATTCATATGTGAATTTATGGAAAAATATCGTGTTCATACAAGAATCGCTATGATTAATAAGGATGCAAGCAGTTTTAAAAGAATAAGAAGGAGTTTTTGTCTTCGGAAATTTTTTTCCTTCACCTAATATACAAAGTAGATAGAACCTGCCAAAAGTTATGCTTGCTCGTAAATAAGACAAGAGAGATTTCAATGACGATAAGAAACGAAAACGATAATAAGAAACGACGGGATGAAAAAGGTTAATTTTTAAAGATTACCGCAAGCAGACTGTTGACTGCAACAAACCTGGGTACTAGAATGCAACCAAAACATACCTCTAGATATTTGTTGCATGCTTTTTCTGCAAAAATTTTTGGTTCCTCAAACCATAATCTTTTTTCGGGGTAAAGAATACGGTACCTTCGAGCAAAATCTTCATACATCCACCTACAAGTACACTGTAATTAACGACAAATCTGGATGATTTAATAACGAGTATAGCTTGTTGCTATAAATAATGCAAATGCTTGCTAATTAATAATTCCTTTAGCCTCCTGTAAAGAGATAGTTCTACTTTGTTATCAAAAGTTTTCAATTTTGTCATAATTATTGGATAAGTTTACATAACTTATGAAAATAGAAGTACCACAGTTCATACCTTGAAGGATAGCCAGTAGCAGATATACGCACGGTTTCCAGAATTCCGCAAGCTCGCAACTGTTGAATGGCTCGTTTAGGTTTGAATGTAAATGGTAATTTCTCATCATTCGGCTT